CCCCCCCCAAAAAAACCCCCAGTGTCCTAGAAGACAGAAAGAAAGACTGAGGCACTGCTCCAGATCTAAGGAAGCTGAGGAGACAGCCCCAGTGAATCTGTGTGCCTGCATTGTACGCTGCTGGTAAGGCAAGATAGGTTACAAAAGGCATTCCTTGGACAATTGAGAAAATTGGAATATGGAGTGACGAAAGTACTGTTATCAAGGTAAAAAGCCTCTAGATTTGATAGCTGTGGTATTTATGTAAGAATATCCTTAATCTAAAATACCACATTTAAGTATTAAAAGATAATGTATAATGTTCAGAAAAAATACATTTTGTGTGTTTATGTATAAAGGGAGGGAGGAATGCAAAGTAAAATTAGCAACATTTAAGTTGAATCTGAATAAAAATTATCTGGGTGTTCTTTGCTCTTATAACTTTTTTCTGATTTATATTATTTTTAAAAATAGCCCTAGATGTGAAATATAATTGGAGACTAATATGCACACATATCCTCCTTTAGTGCCAGTAAATTGAAATTAGAATTTAAATAGCATAATTTTCTCATTGTCCCTTTTTGATATTTGTATATACATATATATTTGGTATATTCCCAGCACAAATCCACAAAGCCTAATTTCATTTTATGCTTGAACCTGACTTTTTAAAAAACATTTTTCTCTATTATGTTTTAGTAGAAGTTTCCAGTTTCAGTTTTAAATTGGGCTATAGGAAAAAAATTGTTTTAAACCTTTTTAGTTAGGGTGAAAGTTATTTGAACTAATTAGTGTATGTTTTACTCTATGACAGTGGTTGTACTCCCCTAATGAAACTGAACTCTTTTCCCCTTGTTTCTGGGTTCCCCATTTTCATTCCTCCTCCTTTCCTACCCCTTCCTGCTTTCTGAGCTTTGTTTTTGGCTAAGTGCCACTCTTTGATCTAACTTGGGTACATTCCGCCCTGATGTTACTATTCACTTGTTTGGCTAAAAGCTGTTGCCTAGGGTGAGTTCCAGGGGATTCCAGTAGTCTTTATCAGACCAGTAAGTCTCCTCTTGTGTAAGCGAGAGAAGTATTTTCCAAGTGTCTTTTTTCTCTGACCTCTCGTAAAATGCTGTGTCTTGTGGAAAAGACAAAGTTTAGCTATGTGGTATTCTCACTCCCCTCCTGGGTATTTCCTGTGTCTTTCTTATTATTTACCTTGTTGTAAAGTGAACTATATTAAAAAAAATACATGAGTAGTAATTTTAAAAACTTTGCAAGCTATTTTGCAATTAAGTTCATTTGCTTAGATCAAACTTATTTATTTTTTTGAGGAACAACTTGTTCTGTATGTAGCAAATGAAAAAAACATTTGAAGATAATGTGCTATCTTAATGATAAAATTTTTTTATGTAATGAACATTAGTAATGTTTCTAATTAATCATGAGTAAAGTGATGGCACCAAATGAAATTTGAGATGATGTATCCAATCTTATATGTTATATAAATTAAATTTAGCTTAAGCTGTAAAAATTCAGTGATACATTAAAGGTGAATTTTGTGACCCTTGTCATAAAATGGATATAATAGTCCACAAGTGTACTAATCCTCCTGTGATGAGTATGGCTGGAGTCTTTAAGATTGTGAACAGCCAGATAAGGTATAGCTATTAGACTCTCTCCAGCTAGAGGAAAGAAAGTCAAAGATGAATGGATATGCAGTTAGTCCAGTGGACTGATAGACCACTCGAACCTCAGCTTCGATGACCCTGACAGACTAGGAGAACAGACGGTGCCAACGATCATTCCCAACTAGTCACATTAGATTGGATCCCCAACAAGGGATCACATTAGCACAGGATAAAGTGGGAGAAAAATGTGGAACAAAATTCAAAATGATTAGAAAGGCCAAGCTTAGTGGACAGATACTCGTGGAAACCCTGAAATCTCCGTCATCAAATCATCCCCTTGGCTCAATTTTCAGCCAAATGGACAGGTGAATAATAACATTAGGGCACTACTCACTCCTTAGAATAATCAGCAGTTTGGGATCATAATGGCAGCATGTGTCCAAGGAAACAATTCAGAAAGCAGGAAGGGTAAGAAAGAATGTGTGAATTGTTGAGTGGAAAACTGATCTGCTCTGTAAACCTTCACCCAATTCACAATGAAGAGTTTTTGTTTGTTTTTTTTATTTGCTAATACTGTGCCTTGTTTACAACATTCTTTGCATTCTGTTTTTCATTAGGTTTTCCATCAGTTCAAAAATAGTGAACTTTATGTCCTTGGTTTCTTAATAATATGCACATTTTTTCCTTTTGTCTTTTTGATGTATGGAGAAATCATGTTTTGCTAGGTGAACACTCCAGGAGCTCCACTTATTTATTTTCAAATGGACCAGTATCTGGTGTACAGTGAAATGGTTACTCTGTGTTTTCTAGTCTTTTTAAAGTAGTGTGGTGGTGGATTATTGACCCTCAATTCAGAGATGAGGGATAATTATTAAGTATATGGATAGAATGAACTCTTCAGTGGTCATGGTTACTTCCTGTATAGTTTTAAAATGCTTCCTTCTCCAGGAAGGTGAACTGTTTTTCTAAGAACGGTAGAATTTGTAATCTTAAGGTCCAGGTATTTTTGTTAAATTATTTAGTCAAACATCTCCATGTAAAATCAGATGTAAAAATAAACTGATTTGTAGCAAGTTAGCTTTTTAAGTAATGTGCTTGATAAAAATACTTTTTCTGGTGTTTTTGTAGTTGTAATATTTTGAGAGATAATCAGAAAAATCGTGGGAAAATAGATTGAAAAGATAGTGGAATTTTTCCATGAACTTTTTGAAGCCACCTCATTTTGCTGTCTCCCCTTCCTGCCACCAGTGCCTTTTGAGTTCCTGCTTTTCCATCTGTTTTACTGATAGACATCTATGAAACGGCACTGTTTTAGATTTAGGGCTCTGTCATTAAGATCATAGTATTTTTTAGTTATAAAACCATTTTCCCCCCTTCTAACTAGGAAGAAGCATTGCATGCATTTATTCAGCCAGAGATCCTGGATGGTCCAAATCAGTATTTTTGTGAACGGTGTAAGAAGAAATGTGACGCACGAAAGGTAGGTAGATCCCGCATATGTACTTCCTTCCTTTTCTAAGCTAATGTTCCGTGTTTAATAGGGGGTTCTTTCTTTTTTGATATAGGGCCTTCGGTTTTTGCATTTTCCTTATCTGCTTACTCTACAGTTGAAAAGATTTGATTTTGATTATACGACTATGCATAGGATTAAATTGAATGATCGGATGACTTTTCCTGAGGAGCTGGATATGAGTACATTCATTGATGTTGAAGATGAGGTAAATATCTATCTTGTGTTATAGTTTTCATTAATCCATTTTAGGGTAACTTGGCATCGGTACCAGGCTCTTGTCTGTATACAGTACAAGATCAATGTCTTATTTTATTCTTCAGGAAGCTCTTAGGATTTCATTATGTGGATTGTCTGCAGTCATTTTGCATAGCCGTTACAGAATGACATTTATTTTCAAAACTACCATCCAGCGATTTTGTTTTGTTTTGTTTTTAGTTGGAATGCAGTACTGTAAATATAAAAATGGGTTTTCCGGCAACTCCGAAATAGTTCAAAACATTTTTCAAGTTCTATTTCGTATGCTTATTATCAAGAGTCAATGCAGAATAGAAGAGCCCATGTTTTAAGCCTACGTAGATGTGGTTCAAAGCCTACTCCTGATATTTCTAGAATTTTAGATGATTCATGTAGCCTCTCTGAGCCTGTTTTCTTCTCTGATAAGAAGAGAGTCTCATTTAAAGTAGTTATTCACCAAAAATGGTAGCTGTCATCATGTGATGTTGTGAAAGATTTAATTTAAAATAATATCTCAAGTATGTTTAAAGTAAAATATCAAGATTTTCATTTAGAAAATCTCAGACTTAACTGAACTTTCAAAGGAGACATAATCCTTAGGGAACTTTGAGAATAGTGATCAATAGCAGAGCAGTCTTCTGCATATTCCTAATGTATTTTTTTTTAATAAAGAAAAATCTTTTCCAAGGGAAGAAACCATCGATACAAAGTTTGACACTTATTTTTATAAAGTCTTAGATCCAGTTCTTGGGTTGACAGCTGTTCTGCCTTTGTTGAAGAAGATTTGAGGCATTATCTCTATTGAGTTAGTGTGGAAAACTAAAGTGTTTTTCTCTTCCAATTTTTTTTTTCCTTTCTTGAACAATACTGTTTGAGAGTTAAGACTGTACTTTAGACACATTCTATATCACAAGTTCCCAGACTTACTTTTTTCAGAAAAGAAAATTTACACAGCACCCCACTGGTAACTGAAAACGTTTGTACTATAGTGCATGATCCAGGATAAATTGTAGATATTTGCTTGTCCAGCTCCTGTGCACCATTCTAGTACGCCCCTCCCCTTGGGGGGGGGCATCATCTACCTACATTGGGAAACATTTCCTATACAATGATAAGTTCTTGCAAAAACTGGCACTTGGTGCATACTGTTAATTATTCGAGAACTCATATGCAGTGACTTATGCATATTGAGACCCTTCATCTCAAAGAAGTATTCTCAATTTGTTGTCTCCCTCATATCATGTTTAAAAGAATGGGGAGCTGGGGAGGGTAGTATTTGGAGTGTCTATGAGATACAATTCTTAAAATTTAGTTAGTGTTATAATGATTTAAATTGTAAAACCATGAAAAAATGTGATTTGCTATTGTAACATTAGAATATAAAAATCTTGAGGATAGTCTTATCCTTCCCCCACCCAATTATCTATAATACCTAGCTTACTAATAGACTGGATTGAACTTTTTTGGACAAGAAAATAGATGATCATCTTAAAGAGAAAATGTCGGCTTCAGTACTTTCAGTAAGATTTGGATTATAGGGAAAAGTTAGCAAACAGAAAGCTTCGGTGGTATTTTATCTTTATTTGCCTTATAATTGTAAGATAATTATGTTTTATTAAGAAGTCTCCTCAGACTGAGAGTTGCACTGACAGTGGGGCAGAGAATGAAGGCAGTTGTCACAGTGATCAGATGAGCAATGATTTCTCCAACGACGATGGTGTGGATGAAGGAATCTGCCTGGAAAGCAACAGTGGAACCGAGAAGATTTCCAAACCTGGCCTTGAAAAGGTACCCCCTTTGTTGATGTGTAATTTGTGTGCACTTTTTGGGGCAAATAAGGTACTCGAGTATAAGCCAACCTGAATATCAGCCGAGGCACCTAATTTCCCCCGCCCCCCTCCAGAGGCACCTAATTTTACCACAAAAACTGCATTAAAAAGGTGCTTGAAAAACTTGGCTTATACACGAGTATATACAGTAATCCGTAAACTGTTGTATGATTGCTGTAGCTATTATGATGAGTACTATGAAGTTCTTTTTAAGAAGCTTAGTTTTCTTTTTAAGCCAACTTGATTCTGGTATGTAATTCCCTTCATGCATTGTTGTCTTTGATATGCTAATATGTTGCTGAGCATTTTTGTATCATGAGAGAAAATAGCCTGCAGTTTTTCTCTCCCGGTGTCTTTCCTATGGTTTTGATGTTAAAGATAATGCTGGCTTCATTAGTTAGGAAGTGCTTTCCCTGCTTCCGTTTTCTGGAAGAGATTATGGAGACTTGGTATTATTTCTTCCTTACTGTGGTCAAAATTTTTCCAGGCAAAATAGTTCCTTTGGCTATGATAATTATGATAGAACTTTAATAATAGTATAATTGTTGATTAGTAGGCTTTTCCCATTTTTATCGGAAGGTTTGTTGCATAAGTTATTATTCATAGTATTCATTCTTATCATTTTGTCCACTGATCGCAGATTTTTATTTTTCATTTATTTTTTTTAATCGTTTTACTAGGGGCTCATACAACTCTTATCACAATCCATACATACATCACTTGTGTAAAGCACATTTGTGCATTCATTGCCCTCATCATTCTCAAAACATTTGCTCTCCACTTAAGCCTCTGGCATCAGGTCCTCATTTTTTCCCCTCCCTCCCCGCTCCCACCTCCCTTGTGAACCCTTGATAATTTATAAATTATTATTTTATCATATCTTGCCCTGTCCAGCGTCTCCCTTCACCCACATTTCTGTTGTCCATCCCCCAGGGAGGAGGTCACATGTAGATCCTTGTAGTCGGTTCCCCCTTTCCAACCCACTCTCCCTCTACGCTCCCAGCATCGCCACTCACACCACTGGTCCTGAAGGGATCATCCGCCCTGGATTCCCTGTTTCCAGTTCCTATCTGTACCAGTGTACACCCTCTGGTCTAGCCAGACTCGGAAGGTAGAATTCGGATCATGATGGGGGCGGGGTTGGGGGGGTAGAGGAAGCATTTAGGAA